ATCCGGTCCTGGCAACGTTTGAGGGATCGTGACGTAGCTCCGACCAGGGAGCTGTAATGCTCCGACTGTGAGAATGTAATGATTACGCAGCCCACTCTCGCTGATCGTGATTTTGAGTTATTTTTTGCATTTCATTTGAGACGTTCGTTTTGGGGTGATTCGAGACAAAATCTTCAGGGAAGTAACAAAATAACTGGCATTAGTTTGGAGAGGACTCTCTTGCCGAAAATAATCAAAATTGAAGTCGAATGGATTAGTTCCACAAACTTGCGCGATCAACTTGTCTTACAGCAAAGTGAAGTCTACGTGACCCGCTGACCCAAATATTTAAATTAGCTATTTGTGAGAATTGAAAATAATCTGAACTTGTACCAATCAGAAAATGCCTTGTAACAGGCCTGGGCTTTCGTGAATGATTTCGTCTCTCCGATTGGTCACAGGAAATTATTTTTAATACATGTAATTGTTACTTTCTCGGTATCGTTTCGTATTTGGTTATATAGGGGTGGGGCTATAGTTTGACCCCGTTTGCGTGGACTGTGAAGTACGTGAATATCATTAACATATCATTATAAGCTGGCTTGATTATGAAACAGGAAATATAAACCAAAGCTGTACTGTCAGACGTCTAGCGCAATTAAAACAATGCCCAAGTACCCAAGCTGTAAAAATCTATAGAAAAACGTGTTTTTATTTATTGTTTTTGCCATAAATACAAGTGATTGGGCATCATTTTCTTCATTCGTTCCATGCTTGCTTTGCAAGTATGTCTTCTCCTGTCGCTGCTGGTCAGATCAATTCTATCCGAAACTATTTTATATCGTCACCAGATCAACCACCACACCAGCCACAGCCACCCAAGTTATTCCCAGTTTTCAAGAAAAAAGTTTGCCGTACCAAACTTGGTAAACAATTGTACAACGGAGGTACAAGTGATTCGAGTGTAGGGTCAGACACTGAAAGTGCTACTAAATCCGACTTCAGGCATTGCTACACATTATCGATGAAACGTCGAATCGTCGTATTTATTTGACATTTGTTATTCCCATAACAGTATTTTTACAGAATAAATTAATTGCAATGATACATCATTAATAATTACTTGTCTATTTTGGTTGTGTGTGTGTTTGCCTATCCCCTTCCCTATTTCACAATGAACAAGTTTGATGACCCTGGTTTAAGAGCCACTGGCTACAAAGTTGTCAACATGTTACCTCAAATAAGCACCACCCAGAAATGAAAGTGTTACAAAGTGGCTCTTATTTGAGGGTTTTTACGGTATACAATTTTAACATAATCAGTCAAAGCATGTCAGAACCGAACAAAATGGTCGCCAGTCAGCCGTTTTGAATTTGATCTGAAAAACAAAATGAAGTGCATCAGGGACCCATAATGTCCAATGTATGTACCAAGTTTGAATGAAATCATTCCATAGAAGACCGAGATCTGGTTCTGGGATGCCAGAAATGCTGGATTTTTGTATGATTTTTTCAGCACAAAAATGTCAGTCAGCCATTTTGAATCCCATCTAAAAAAACAAAATGATGTGCATCAAGGTCAGTTAATGTCCAATGTATGTTTCTGG